CGTAAGCATGTCTGTCTTGTGTGGGTGAAAAATGTGGGTAGGTTCTGATTTGTGGGGTTATATATTAATACTATTTATATTGCTAAATCTGTGATTAAGCCCGTTTGGATAGTGCGTTTTTAAACGTTGTATCCACTTATTTTCATGGAACTCTAAAATATTTCTAATGTTATCTGCTCAGAACTTTTCTAGTCTCTCAATTTTATATATATATATATATATATATATATATATATAAAGGGAAGAGGTTATAGTAGTTCCAACGAGAGAAAAGTGTGTATATTAAAAAGAAGAGAGAAATCGCAAACGTTTTTGGTGGTAATGTGGATTTTTAAAACAAAATATTATGCCTTATTTTCCATAATTTTGTTACACGGGTTTCCGGTTTCGCGACCTTCATCAGGCGAAGCGTGGAGATTTCCACATATTATTAAAAATAATTAATTTTTTCTTATGTTTTTCGATGTTAAATATTCTCGATATGAGACATTCTCTTTTTAGTGTGTTAGTGACCCAAATCTCTTTCTTGAACTGGCAGTGAAAAGTTCTGCGTAAAGGGTTATAAAACAATTAAGATTGGTCCGAGAAATGTTGAAGGAGTTATCGGCATTCTTACACACACACACGCACACACACACACACACACACACACACACATATATATATATATATATAAAAGTGAACATTGACGGTGAGCGTCTGTTTCATATAGTCGCTTCTGAGTGTTGACTTCAATGTCCACTTTATATTTACATACGCTCTATCCCTGATACTGAGAACTTTAACCCATAAATATAGCTTACTTTAAACTATATTTTATCATATATATACATACATATCTATCTATACATACATACATACATATATATATATATATATATATATATATATATATATATATATATATATATATATATATATATATGTATGTATGTATATATAATAAACTGTTACATTGGAACAAGCAGGTTACCACAACAAAAATGCATATTTATTTCGACGTCTAAAAGACATCTTATCAGGTGGTTAACGTTAGTGGTAGAAACGATTTTATTTAAAAATACAATTTATGAAACTCACTTCTTTTTACATTTTTGAAAATTTTCCATAATCGTTATATTTTTGGTATTATTAATTTACGGTAATATATATATATATATATATATATATTTGTTAACGTTTTTTATGTTATGAATTGTTTCTTTTTTGCTATTGGCTTCTTTTTAATATGCTTGCTTTTATTGCTTAAAAAACAGATAATATTAATATTGTATTCATTTTAGTTTTTTTTTTCTCGAACAAGTGATAGTGTAGTGATGGTATTGTGTTGTATGTGACGCGTCACGTATTTAGGGGGCTAAAAGTTCCCCAGAATGGGAAAGTGAACGTTTTCTCACCACGGCATCTTGCGGTTGAAGCGCAGAAGAAGAAGGGGGAGGATGAGGATGAGGATGAGGAAGCAGAATAAGAAGGGCTATGTATCCTTTCCTTTTTTACAACGCCACCTAGAGAGCGTTAAAAGAAGTTCCCTGTCAGACTAAGTAGGGTAATATCACCCCGTCATTTTTCCGGGGGGGGGGGATTGGGGACATTCCATTTCTTTGTTTTTTGTCCCAACCAGCATATTTTTTAAAAGATTACAGACTTCATAGTTATCACCTTTTTTTCCCCCATCTGTTTTTATTCTGTTTTCTGAAAAATACTCCTCCTCTACTTGACCCAGGGATCGAACTGACGACCTCCAGGAAATGAGAGCAACGGCTTTGTATTTATTTTATCTCTTAAGTTTTGTTCCATTTTCTTTCCGTGTTTTCCCCGGATCCTTATCAAGTAGGTCACTACCCACCGATAATTATCGGAAAATGACCAAATCGAACAGCTATGATCAGGAAAAAAAAAATCCATGACATCATATCTATTCGCAGAAGTAAAATGTCAAAGTTCACCTCACAGTTTATTAAACAACGCCCAGTTTTGTTTTATTTAAATTATGCAATAATTTCCGTGAACAGCAGGAAAATTTAATTTTTATTACCGAAATAAAGTTTACGAAACAAAGTAGAAAGCAATATTTATTTTGTAAAGATACAAAAATGTGGCAAAAAGCCAAATAGGGAGATAGGGGAAGGCTAGTCTTCAATCTGTGTTATCTTAAACTTAGCTAGCCACGATTACTGACCCAAACATACCATAGTATTCCTTACACCAAAACAATACATTCTTACTTACCGAAGTGGAAAGCTCATCAGAACAATTGCCATGAAAATATTTATAGAAAATGTACAGAGAAGCTACGTTACGGCGGTAGGAAAGTGACTAAAACCGAGATACAAAGTCAAGACTGATAACATTGCAGATATATTAAGGATCGAAAACATTAAAAGAACAGAAATTATGAAGTCAGAAGATAACGATTGACAATTGCATTTAAATTATTGAAGTTCAAAGTTGACTGGAAGCCGGAAGAGATTCCACAAGCGAGACGTGCGAGAAGAAGAAACTGTTAACATAGAACTTACGGTTACATCTAAATATTTCAACTGTAAAATGATAAGACCTTGCCGCCAATCTAGTACTGCGCTTAAATTCATAAAATCTAGGTACCATAGACGAAAGTTCCTCAGAGCAATTACCATAAAAATATTTATAGTGAAGGCACAGGGAAGTTATGGCGGTGGGAGTGACTGAAACCGAGATACAATGTCAGGACCGATAAAATTGCAGATTGGCTGACGGTATCTACCAATTGCCCCACGCGAATTTAATTGCCCAGGCCGAATTTAATGTGGGGTAAACCGAGCTCGTAGGCTCAGCCAAAAATTCCTCGTAGGCCCCATATAAAACGGGGTCGGGTAGCTATTTCCCGAGACGAGACTGCCCTTCGACATAGCCTCGTCTGGGGATCATCTTTGCCCGGAGGCAGAGAGTTTGACTAACACAGCTGAAGGCGAATCTCCAATTGCAGACTCAAAACTTTCTCGTTGCTCACATGTTCAGTCCAAGGTATTTTTATTTGATTCTAAAGAAATTTTCCTGTCTTTAAATACTTTCTTTGGCTTGTGGACAGCATCTTCCTTTTATTTCCAGCGCGCCAGCGAATTTCTGTGCCACAGTTTTCGCCATACGTTGTTACACTTCCCTGGCAGTAAAACGTCTGTACATGCTTTCTTTAGATATCTTCACTTTGTAGATAGCATCTTAGGCGGGCGGCCCGTCTTGCTAAAAACAATACTTTCTGTCTTATGATATAGAAAATTGAAGTAATGCATTCTTTATACTTTTCCTTACAAGAATTAAATTCTGTTTACCTGTATAATTCGCAAAATATATTTATATCCGACTGTTCATATCTATCTATCTGTCTGTCTTCATAGCATTCTATCTATCTATCTATCTATCTATCTATCTATCTATCTATCTGTCTATCTGTCTGTCTTCATAACATTTTATCTATCTCAGTGTCTTCATAACAATCTATCTATCTTCATAACATTTTATCTCTCTCAGTGTCTTCATAGCATTCTATCTATCTATCTATCTATCTATCTATCTATCTATTTTCATAACATTTTATCTATCTATCTATCTATCTATCTATCTATCTATCTATCTATCTATCTATCTATCTCATATCTCATCTATCTATCTATCTATCTATCTATCTATCTATCTATTTTCATAACATTTTATCTATCTATCTATCTATCTATCTATCTATCTATCTATCTATCTATCTATCTATCTCAGTGTCTTCATATCTATCTATCTATCTATCTATCTATCTATCTATCTATCTATCTATCTATTTTCATAACATTTTATCTATCTATCTATCTATCTATCTATCTATCTATCTATCTATCTATCTGTCTGTCATGTTACGAGTCGAACTATTACATCCACCCAGTCCCTGTCTAAACGCAATTCTATCCTCTGATGTAGTTGACTAATTTCGTCACAAAAAGAAAGCTAATCATTTCATCAGTGTATTGACAGAGTGGATCGCACTGAAACGGGTCTGCACAGGTTAAATTCGCTGACTGTCGTACGCTCTCCAAACGGCCTACTCCGTCTTCTTGTCAGTGAAAGAAGCATATTGAGCGGGGGAAAAAACATTTTAGATGGCCTGCTTCCAGAGATACGTACTTATTTTAACAACCAGAGTCCTAGTTTCGAGTCGAAGTAAAAGTTAGAATTTCCAATGCTGTTTTTCTAAGCAGGTTAAACTGCCTAGTTACCGTCTCACATTGGCTTTTGTTGTGCTCTTTTATACTCAGTAAATACCGTAAAAAGAGATTTTAGAAGCTTCTGTTTGCAGACTACGTGTGTTTAATGACGTAAGACTTTTCTTTCTATCTTTTCTTTTTAAGTTTTTGTCAGAGAGTCGAATGTCTAATTGGGTTTTATTGATAAGAAGACAATAACGCAACACTTTCTTTCTTTCTTTTTTCTTTCTTTCTTTTTTCTTTCTTTGTTCGTAAAATAAATCTCTGAGTACACTTACCTCTACTTATCTTAGTCTGTTTAGATCTATCTAATATTTTAGTCACTTATTATGTAAGCCAAAGTGTGTCAGGTTTGATCTTTTTATCTATAGACACCATCAAATTAGCTTTGATGTATAATTACGTATCTTAACAAGCGCCCACACAAGCGCCCCCACATGTAAAAGCACATATAGAGATAACCTTCTGTCTTTTGTCATATATATAAACACATACACTTTCTGATAAGAAACTCATCCATCCATTACCTACCCACTCCAAGCTAGTTTGGATTCAGAATTTTCCATCTCCTAGACTGGTTGCTAGCTCAATATTTAGGACCCAGCCTATTCTGCTATTCATCCATAGCTTGAAATGGGGGAGTAATACATGGTTTCATACCGTTACCAAGTGTGTTTGTGAATGTAGCGAAATTGAACTCGACTGGAATTCGGACTTATCTCTTTGATTTCTCATCCCGCGTTGTTATCCATTACACCACCCACACATCCAAACTTACAGCGCTTGGTATTCCCAAGTGGTCACCCATCTAGGTACTGACCAGGCTCGACGTTGCTCAACTTCGGTGATCGTACGAGAACCAGTGTTTCAACGTGTTATACCCGTAAAGACATACGTACACCTTTCAAAATAAAGCAAAAAATTAAAACGGGGCGTCTATTTCAAACACGAGTATCCACTAAAATGTCGTTTATAAAAATGTCGGGTTAAAAAAATAAATCCATTCATTCTTTAGAAATTACTTTGTTTACATTTCTAATACGAAATTCGGAAGATCTGGGCTTTCGAGAGAAAAAACCTGAACAAGGAAGTGTGCATTTACCCAAAATGGAAAATAGGATCTTGCTGGGCTGTGATGCTCTCTGTGACCGAGCGGTTTAAAGCACGCCAGATCAAACGGTGTTTTCTCCTACAAAGTGGGGTGCAGGTTCGAAACTGTTACGGAGAACAAATTTTCCTTATTAAGTTTTCTAGAGTGCACAGATCGCTAGATAGAATACACACTGTTTAAAATAAAAAGAAGAAAACTAAGTGTCTATTTCAAACACTGGCATCCACTAAATTAACATTTGAAGCAATATACCGAGGGTAACAGCAAAATTGTCCAATTGTTAGATTAAGCTCCGTTGTATCTTAGAAAAGATTAAAGATATCTTACTGGAATTCTCCGAGGTTTTTATAACACTATTGGGCGATAAGAATATATAATTACTCTCAAAGCTTAACAGAAGTATCTTGATGAAAAACGATCATAAACAAAAATGACAATTAATCATAGCTAAGTATCGGAAAGGTTGAAATAAAGTTCATATATATATATATATATATATATATATATATATATATATATATATATATATATCAGAGGGTATCTCCCAGACGAGGCTCTGCCGAGGGGCGGAGTCTCGTCTCAGGAAACTGACTCGGGAAACTGACTTTTTTACGTAGTCTGTAGGAAGTTTTGCCTGAGCCTACGGGCTCGGATATCCCACTTTAAACTCGGTCTTGTGCCACATCTTGCTGCGTGGGGCAGCGGGTATATATATATATATATATATATATATATATATATATATATATATATATATGTTATTTCCATTCAAAGAGTGATCTTCCTCCTCTCTAACCTTTTAACTTTCTGTCCTAGAGTAACAAGGTTCATCGCAGGTTTCACGTACGTTTTCATTTTCAAGTCTTTTTTTCACTGATCTTTGGACTGTCATAGGTGAAACTCCTTTCTCAAGTTCCAAACGTCTTTTGGATTGAGTTGGATCTTTTCTAATTGATCTATTTAGCTCTAAGTTGAAATGATGATCCCTCGTCTGTTGTGACCCCCTGATCCAGTGTTCCTCTCTACTGTTCCCGCTTTTTTAAAAACTTGTTCATCGTTCTTTTGATGGTTCTTGAATGGACATTGAAGATGGAAGCCAGAGTATGAATATTGTTTCCATTACTGAAGGCCTGAATGATCTTTTTCCTCTCACCATTGCTCAATTGGGAAGACATAGTGGGGCTGACACAAAATGATTTTAACCTGTTTTCTTTCTAGCTGAATAAGTCAAAGGGTTTTTTTCAGTGATTCTTACGACAAATGGCGTTTTATCTGAAAACATGGAAAAAAGAAACTCAATTAGTTTAGTGCTTTTTAGATATTAAACATTTTGTGGGATGGACAATTATCCCATTCTGTTACACGATTTGGACAATTTTGCTGTTACTCCCGTTACACACACACACACACACACACACACACACACACACACATATATATATATAAATAGCTGGCCACTCGTATTCGAGAATACCCATCTACTAGAGCTGCTAGCCAATTCCTATTGCAGACGATCGCTCAGATTCATTTGTGTTTGCTCAACACCCACAGAGACCACCTGTGGTTTATACTGCAATTATACTGAGCAGACCTTAGTTACAGTTTCTGGGAGAGAGCGTGTTATTTGGCGTGATCAACAATTTGAACAAGGCCAGCACGCTCAAGCCCTCGGCCACGATGACTTGTGGCTTTATACAACTATGGATGGCCCTCAAGAGTTCCGTTTACCCAAATTCACTCACAAGGCTTGGGTCAATCCGTGCTATGGTTTTCATGCACTTTCCAGAGGTGCCTCAATATATATATATATATATATATATATATATATATATATATATATATATATATATATATATAATAAAAAGGCTTAAACACTAATATTCCATGGTCATAATTTATTCCATTGGAATCGTAAATACGATCCAAATCATCAGACCTACAAATTCAAAATGAAAACAGAAAAAAACAACTCCTACCTACCTACTTGTATATGTTTTTGTGTGTATTAGTATGTGTTTTTGAACATAGAAATATTTGGTCCTTGCTAAATTAGACAATCGTTATATTCATCTTCATATATTTATATTTGATTTCTAACCTGTAGTCGATACTAATTTTCTCAATTACAAAGCGGCCCTTTAAGTAAACACAATTTTATTTTCCTTCGTCCCATCTCTCTCCCCCACCTCTTCTCTTCTTTTTTTTTCCCCTCCTATCCTAATTGTCTATGGTGTGTATATGTTACCACGAAATGTATCTTTATGCATTAGACATCCGTCGACTTTCTTTCTCTCCTCTTTTTAAATTCCCCCCCCCACATCTCCTAAAATTCTCTCTGTTAAGGTTTCATGTCCCTCCTCCTCATACTTACACTTTCTCTAAATTCTGTTTTGATTTCCGGAGTTGTTTTTTTCTGTTTTCCTGTTTTCTGTTTTCATTTTGAATTTGTAGGTCTGATGAATTGGATCGTATTTACGATTCCAATGGAATAAATTATGACCATGGAATATTAGTGTTTAAGCCTTTTTATTATATCCTTACTCTGTCCTAGACATTGAGTTCTACCTGGATCCTTCCTCTTGGAAATTTTTTTTTTTTTTTTCTGAAAATATACATGTATGGGAATTTTTTATATATATTTTGCATATGTATGTATATTTTCCACTAATATTATCTATCTATCTATCTATCTATCTATCTATATATATATATATATATATACAAACAAATTTCATAAAAAAGAACCGAGAAAATTTGTCTGTTTAATTTTTTTTACATTTTTCCAATTTCCGCATGTGTTGACTATTTTGCTCAGATTTGTGGATAAACTATTCGATGTTTATATTTTGTTATTTTTGTTCAAGTACTTTCGACTTTCACAGTCATTACCAAGAACCGACGTGTTGTTTGTGTGGTAGTTAGAATTCCTTTGTCTACATTCTGAGATGAGGTATTATGTACACTCTTACATTATGTACACTATTTACTATTGTCCTCATCTCTGTCGCCATATTTATTAGATTGTACGCTCCGGCCTTCTTCAGGTGGTTGGAATGTCGAACTGAACCCTTTATTTCGCTCACTGGGGTAGACTGTTCTAGTTCCACATGCCAGTCAGTTATCAGTTATCTCTTGTTAATTCCCCTCTCCAAGTTCTCCAGTGCCTTAACCGGGTATTGAACTCACACTCTTTGGGTCCTGTCACTGGATCTAACCAACGCCATTATCCACTGTGTCATGTATCCTTGAGGACATCTATGTATGAATTTCTAGGGATTATAAACTTTCAGCAACCATACTTCACCCTTGCATACGTAGCATTCCATTCGTAAAGGTCAGAGCTGGTAGGACGAAGGATTGTAGCGCGTCAGAACACATGCCATGGAAATAACGACAGAGTAACGAGTATGATATATTTGATAAAATATCACTATTATGTTGATGTCATATTTGACAAAATGTGGCTACTATGTTGATGTTTCTGTCTATATTTCTGAGATGAGGTATGATGTACACTATTTACATTGTTCGGACTATTGTTCTCATCTTTGTTGCCATATTTGTCACAACGTTTTGGCCGTTGTACACATGGCACAGTGGATAAAGGCGTTAGTTAAACCCAGTGACAGGACCCAAAAGAATGTGAGTTCAATACCTGGTTAAGGCAGTGGAGAACTTGGAGAAGAGAATTAACAGGAGATAACTGATAACTGATATCCATTAAACATGGCACGTGGAACTAGAAAAGTCTACCCCAGCGAGCGAAATAAAGTGTTCAGTTCGACATTCCAACCACCTGAAGATGCCAGAGAGTAAAACGGCCGAAACGTTGTTATAAATATGGCAACAAAGATGAGGGCGATAGTCCAAACAATGTAAATAGTGTATGTTGATGTTATATTTGTCAAAATGTGGGTATTATATTGATGTTATATTTGACAAAATTAGCATATTATTTTGATGTTATATTTGTCTCCTCCTCAATATCTGTCTATATTTCTGAGATGAGGTATTATATACATTATTTACATTATTCGGACTATTGTCCTCATCTTTGTCGCCATATTTATTACAACGTTTCGGTTCTTCAGCATCTGTCTATATTTCTGAGATGAGGTATTATATACACTATTTACATTATTCGGACTATTGTCCTCATCTTTGTCGCTATATTTATTACAACGTTTCGGCCCTTTAGTATCTGTCTATATTTCTGAGATGAGGTATTATGTACATTATTTACATTATTCGGACTATCGTCCTCATCTTTGTTGCCATATTTATCACATTTTGGCCGTTGTACACATGGCACAGTGGATAAAGGCGTTAGTTAGATCCAGTCCAGTTCGACATTCCAACCACCTGAAGAAGGCCGGAGCGTACATCGGCCGAAACGTTGTAATAAATATGGCGACAAAGATGAGGACAACAGTCCGATTAATGTAAATAGTGTCCTTTGTCTACATCCTGCTATTCTTTGGGAAGTTAGACATTTGAAATGATCAAATATACAGAGTATATCAACAATACTTTTACAAACATTGGGGGCGTGTTTCTCACACTAAACAAGGACAAAAGTCCATATTAACATATGTCCCAAATCGTTCATTTTTCAAAAGCAAAAGAAGCAATCGAGAAATTAATAAAAATAATAATAAGCAGGAAATTTTTATGAGAAAGCAAGAAAGAACAGAGTGCTGGACTCTGTAATATGTAAAATCTAATATCGATTATCGTATATAGCAGTGAATTCAATAATTCATTTAGAT